GTCCCACTCCAATGGCATCATACTGAACATGAATAGTGAGGAAAGTGAACTGGAACACATATTCATGCACTAAAAGGGAAGTCAGCAGGCACTAGTCAGCTACTTGTAGACAACCTCCTACACAGTGGAGACAGGAAAGGTTTCAAATGTATCCAATGTGCAAGGTGGCTGTGTTCAGCAGCACATACTCATAAATGTACTGTAATTCACTACCTATCCACACACGACAACTAAACTACGACATTTCATCACTACAGCTGGTCTTGCTGCTTGGATTTTACACTTACCAACACATTCTTGCTGGAAGCGGTAGTACCTTCTCTGGCAATCTTGACAGCGCTGTGACTCGTATCCTCGCTTGCATACACAGTTACCGGTGGTCTTGTTGCAGAAAGTAGCGTCTGCTGTGCCCGTTGCATCGCAGTTACACGCTGTAGTGAGTACAAACCGTAATCAACATCACAATGAGCACCCCATATCCAAACACAAAATATTCATGGTAAAAATGGAGAAGGATAAAATGTTACGAGTCCAAAATGACAAAGTAGTGTGTGTTCTCAATGAAATCCAGTCGATGCACTCATGTACGCGCCGGGCGTTGCGCAGCCCTAGACCTGCGAACACTGGGATTCGAAATGGTGCGAGGCGAAAACTGGAGTGCCACGACTGGATCTCATTGAGCAGGACTGTACATGGCATACACTGCAGTAGGAAACTTACGTATACATCCACTGGCTGTCAACGAGTGGAAGTCATCACGGCACACTCCGCACGTCCTCGATGTGTTGTCCACACCAACACGACAGCTGCATTGTCCTGACGCGCCATGGCAGACGTTGTCAACGGCACCATTCCCGTGACAACCACACGGCACGCACGCGCCCGCAGAGGATCGGTAGAACTCGCTGCGGCACGTCTCGCAGTTATCACCGTCGGTGTTACCGGAGCAGTTGGAACAGACGCCGGTGATTCGATCACATGTGCCACTCTGATCGCTACAGGCACACGCTGTGTGATGGTAAAAGAAATTGGGCGTGCACACACGCAAGTACAAATGCACAAACACACACATACACACATACACACAGACGGCCGTCATCACCTAACTTTCTTTCTTCTTTCGCTGTCTGGTGTTCTGGAAACCTCAGAACTTGAGAGACTTTACTGACAGCTGTAAACCTGCCATGCAGGCAGCGCTCAGGCAAAAAGGTCAACGGAAGAACCAAGACAGAGGCTGCGAAACCAATTTCTGATTTCAATATGCAGGCACAAAGATACATTGTCCGATTGTACATGCAGGTGTGCCTGATCGCGAGTGTAACGTGCATGGGACGGTGCATGGTTCGAGCCTAACACGACATGAGTTAGACCGTTTACCAGCAGGAGTAGCAGCAACCTGTGTAGACCTCTGGCAAGACTCCCTAAACCTCACCACCACTGCCACAATTCAGGTTGTGCGTGCTTCCCCTAGCTGCATCTCATGTTTGGCATTAAGTGGTCTTTGCCATGAGAAGCCAGGAAACCTCGCCAACCCGATGATCTTATCGTCCCACATGATCAAATGCTACTAGCAGTACGTACGTGTGCAACCGGATAAAGTCCAGTAGTAGCCGCGTAGGCATGTGTCACAGCGCAGTCCAGTTGTGCCCGGCTCACAGCGACACTGCCCAGTGACGGAATCACAAGTGTCATTACCTGATACACACACACACACACACACACATAGACACAAACACGCGCATGCACACACACACACACACACACACACACACACACACACACACGCACAAGCACACACATTCTTTATATTCGCTCATAGCATGCAAGGTACATTGTAGTACGCTTGGTGAAGACTGCCTGTTTAAGCTGTTCCAATGCAATAGCCTGGATATGCGTGCTCGGCCTTTGCTGTGTGCCACAGTTGTCTTAGATCCCGTTCTCGTCCAAGTAATGTGTCACTGGATTCAAGGATGCTTCTGCTACATAACATGATACAGTGCCAGACACGGTGATACTGGTTGACTACCAAATTATCATACACTGCAGTCACACAACAAGTTGGAGTGTATAGTGTTTGTCGCAGCATTGTCTCTCTCCGTATTGTCCATCTCTCTCTCATCTGTATTACAATGTGCACACTCGATGAAAATATATCATTCCTTGTTTGTCCCACAATGGACTCCTGCGTGGCTTTCAGGCTGGATACACTACACAAACGCTGTAGAACAATGCAATCGCCGCGGAAAGTGGTCATTGGCTGCCCCAGCCATGTACTATTTGGAATAACACTAAAACTAAAACTAAACCTAGGTTATCAAGGATCTTTTGCATTTTTATTTATTCAACATTTCCTGGCTCATCAAATGGCTGCCGATAACGAATGAATATAAAATGAAGGGTGGTAGCCAACCACGGCAGCTATCCGAAACAGTACAACAAAGTAAAAGGCATGAAGGAATCGAGAGTCGAAAATAACAAAAGGTTTTAAAGAGAGTATAAA